GTTAACACCCAAGTCCCACAAAACATTGACCTCATGCTCCACACACTTTCCCCCATTTTCTTCTCCCCTAATAAAATTTTGGGAAAAAAGTTGTAGCTTTTTGGAAAGAGGAAACAAACAATATTTTGTATGATCAGTATCAACTACATGATTCAAAAAATATTTTTAAAACATACTGTACTCTATTTTCCTACGATACATACCTTCTTTTGAGGGAAGGCGACAGACTCTCCTGCACATAGACATAAATGCATACAAGTACTTCTCTAAACTCTCATCTGTTTTCTTATGTAGCCTAGCCATGGCTCTAAATTTTGTCCAGTCAAATCGACCCCCATCAGGATCAAACACCACTCCAAATGTGGATACAACCCTGTAAAAATCAGCTTCTTCTCTTCTTGTCCATCTTGGTTGGCAATAGAAAGAAAAAAAAACATCAATCAAGTTTGGACATTTAGTAATGTTCTTAATATTATCACCTGTGACAATTAGTGACTACAACTTTAAAAAAATTTGAAGTCTTATTGAGTTTCTATAGGTTCATGCGTTTAAACTGAATACTTTTACTTTGCACAAACCTTTGTTGCCTTTCAATCTTGGCTGCCATTTTTGGATTTAGAGCAGCTTCTTCATATGGAGGCTGCATCACAGTGGCCTGAACTGGAAACGTTGGTTGGATTTGCTGGGCCTGCCTGTTCTTACTAGTACGTTGGTAGGCTGTTATTAGGCGGCGCAGACGTGTTGTTAAAGCAGACTGAGTGGGCCAATAAATTTTGTCTCCTTCCATCATCTGACCATCTATATTAAAAGAAAATCAAACAAAATCAAAGAAACAAGTCAATTATTGATGGTGCCTCGGGTTCTGCACTACCCCCAAAGCAGGGCTGCGCCAAGATACGATGTAGTCCAGCATGATAGGATACTATATGTTAACAATAACCATCATATATGAAATTTAATTTACTTTACCTCCATCAGCTATTACTAGATCTCCTGGCGATGAAGCATCATCCTAAAAAATCCAAGTTTTGAAATAAATCAAAAATATGAATCCATCAGAGACTTAGTTAAACAATACACACCTTAGGTAGATAACTAATAAAAGTAAAATAAGAATAATAGTATTACATTATATTTTAGACAATTGGCTATTAAGGCATCTTTAATATGAAGGGATCACACAAAAATACTTTTTAAAAGACTTCTATGAGACTTATACTTAAGCTGTGCATGTATAGGAAATATTAAAAATGTTATAATAATAATTAATGGAGATATCCCATCTCCTAGAACTGGAAGGGACCTTGAAAGGTCATTGAGTCCAGCCCCCTGCCTTCACTAGCAGGACCAAGTACTGATTTTGCCCCAGATCCCCAAGTGGCCCCCTCAAGGATTGAACTCACAACCCTGGGTTTAGCAGGCCAATGCTCAAACCACTGAGCTATCCCTTCTCCCCCTTGAAGTTTAAATGTTAAAATAACTAGCTCTATGAAGTTAGAAGTAACATTTTCATTATGATAGAAAGAACTAAAAACAGATGCATACCGTACCTCCATATCATCTTTAAACATTGCTGGGGCTGGTTTATATTCTGGATCTTCTACATCCCTGTTAAAATTTCAACACAGCAAAATAATCTATTTTAATACTCTTTTAAGAGGATCTATTCTGCTTGTATTATGCAAAGCAATTCTAAATCAAGATGGATTTATTCTCTGGTTAATTTTCTACTGGGAAATCTCAGTCACTGTACTTTGGAGGGGAAAAAACATTACAACAGGAACTATGGCTTCAACATTTTCCCTCTTTCCAAGAGGTCTTCTATCTGTGGCCCTAAATTGTGGCCACCAACCCCTGTCTCATGAAAAATGAACTACTCCTCCTCTTTGGAAGTTATCAATGCTACTCAAATTGATTTAAAGGGGTTGCTATTTAGCAACACTAGACATTTCTGGCCTCTAGAGGAAAAGTTGACTAATGTGGTAGCACTCCCAATTTCTGCTGGCTTTTGTCCTGAGGAATCAAACTCACATCTCTCATATAGCAATGCAAAGCACTATCACTGCTGCATGGATAACCTTATGTTACCAATCAATTCCCAGGTCTAAATATTGTGCTATAAAATACACTGGGCCTGATTTTCTTTTCACTTACACTGGAATACACCAGAAATAATGCCATTTACACCAATCAACTTACACTGGTGTAAAAATAGCGTGAGAAGAGAATCAGGCCCAGTGTATAAGTTTAGTTCAGTTTACATCAAACAGCTTGTAACAAAACTGAAACATTCATACCCATCAATGTAATCATTTGCTCTTTGTTCAGCAGCAACTGCTTTCTCATCTGGTTTGCCCACCCTTTCCAAGAAACAGAGTGCGGGATCTGCTCTAATAGTGTTGTACTTTTCATAGCCTGAATGGAAAGAAGCAATAACATACAAGTGATTTTTAAAAGAAGGCATAAAAGGAAAGGTTTGTGTCAGGGAAAAAAATATATATATTTAGTCATCCAGTCATCCTTATTACTTACCATGCTTAAAAACTCCAATTAGGAGGGATTTATCTGCATCTGCATCCCACCATTCTGCAGGGACCTCAGAATGCTCTGGCTCAGGGACCCAAACATCAACTTCACTGAAAAATTCACCAATAAAACAAACGTAAATCTACACAAGGAAGGATGAAATTTAATTTGTCTTTGTTATTTCACATTTTATACTTCAATTTTTAATAGAAAGCACCAATAATTTTACATGTCCAAACACACAAAAGCTAGCCTCTGATCAACAAGCTAAACATCATTTTATTCACAGTTTCCATGTTGGTTAAAAGACTCAAGAGTATATAGGCCACATTCTCTTTTACAAAAGCTGGCATTCCAAGAAAAAAAAAAAAAGACACTGACAGATGCATAAATCATAAACAGTGCAACATGAATGAAAACGACAATTTTTCCACTGAGGACTGAGCGCTTTGGTAATTTGCAGCTAAATTAAAGCATATAAATTGCTTTTGATAGCACTGAAACCAATGGAAGTTTTGTCATTACCTTCAATGAGAGTAAAAAGAGACCCATTATCTGAATTCTACCACTAAAAAGCATGGGAATCCTGCTGACAGAGTATAAATCAGGTGAATTTGTATTTGTCCTAAATATATTTATATTTCCTCAAACTTAGAATTGCTAATGATAAAAAAGTAAATACAACAGAAACAGTTTTTTCATGGGCAAAAATTGTAAATGTTATTTGTTGTTATTGTTTTTCCCTGTGAGGTATTCTTACTTAATAGTTTACATTTAAAAACAAGCAAAAAAATTTCAGTATAGTTCACCTGGCATCAACTCCATCAAACACTTTTTGGCATTCATTACCAATGACTTCTTGTTTTAAGTAATACAGCATTCGTACTCGAAGCAAGACCCTAAAAACAAACACATAAGAAACAGACATTAGAACTCTATCAAGATTTATGTTTGGAAGGCTTTTTTGTGAAATTAACTAGTTATTGGGTTTTTTGCAATGCTGCTTTTTCCTGAAATACAGAGGTAACTGGCATTGATTGTATATTTAGACTGCCTAACATTTAAGATTAGTACAACCTTTACCTGAGAACCTCTAAGACCTCCACTCTTTGCAACAAGCCTTTGAAAGTCAAGGCATGTTTCTAACCTTGTCCCCTGCAATTCTATTCAGGTTTGGCTGAGTTATAAACTGTTAAAAATTGCCATTTCCCTTCCCTCACTTGTATTCCTCAGGAAAAATGTTGGCAGCCCACCAATAGAACATTCTAGAAAGCCAGGCGTATAGCAAAGCAGCAGCAGCACCACGGCCATACACTCTACTGGAAGCTTCCAGAGCAGCAGGGAGAACAAGAGCCACGCTGGACAAGCCTCCTGCCCCCTGCAAGAACCTTTCAACATCCAGCAAATGGCCCATCTGCCCCTTTGAGGGAACTACGTGCAACAGGAACTCCTCAAACTCACGAGGGAGTGGGAGGAACACCCTCAAAAGATGAGTTTGGTAGCTTAAATTCATAACTTTGCTACATACTAACAATGATGGACTGACCAGAGACATTGAATTTATTGCTTATTACTACCATCTATAAGCCCATGGGCTGCATGTCACATAGGCAGGGGAAGGCTGTGCCTCCCCAAACAGCCCAGCGTGGCCCACCCACGCTCCTCCCTGAGCCCCCTTCCTGGCTTGCCCTTCTCCCTTGGCCCCAGCCCAGGCAGGATGCTCCTCTTTCAGGGCAGTGTGCTGGGGCTAGGACAGCCGGGACTTGGGGCGGTGAGGGGGGGGGGAGGGGCAGGGCGCTGGGGCTGCCCAGCACCCAGCACTCGGGGGCAGGAGACACTGGGGCTGCCTGCCTTGTGCTTGGAGGAGGCTGGGGGCATTGGGGCTGAGAAGGCTGTGCACCGACTGCCCTGTGCTCGGGGGAGCGGGGGCATGCACCCGCTCTGCACGTGTGGCCGGGAGGGCTGCGTTAGGGGTGGCTCGGGGAAGGGGGTAAGTCTTCGGACGGGGAAGGGGGCGGGGCCGGCTAAGGGCCTCCCCCAGCTGGCAGTTCACCCGCCGCCCCTGTATAAGCTCCCAAATCCCCCACTCAGCTTTTTTCCCCCCCTCTATGACTGGAGAGATGTTAACAGGGCACTTCACCTTGAATTTTTGAAATATGTGTTAAATATTAATGCTAAACAATCTGTTCTACCTTATAGTTAGCACTATCACTCTGAGCACATTTCCCAGACCTGAAGAAGAACTCTGCGTAAGCTCATAATTAATTGTGATTAATCGCATGATTAAAAAAAATAATCGCTATTAATCGCACTGTTAAACAATAATAGAATGCCATTTATGTAAATATTTTTGGATGTTTTCTACATTCGCAAAAATATTGATTTCAATTACAACATAGAATACAAAGTATACAGTGCTAATTTTATATTTATTTTTTATTATAAATATTTGCACTGTAAAAATAAGATAGTATTTTTCAATTCACTTAATACAAGTACTGTAGTGCAATCTCTTTATCATGAATGTTGAACTTACAAATGTAGAGTTATGTACAAAAAATAACTTCATTCAAAAATAAAACAATGTAAAACTTTAGAGCCTTCAAGTCCACTCAGTCCTACTTCTTGTTCAGCCAATCACTCAGACAAACAAGTTTCTTTACATTTGCAGGAGATACTGCTGCCCGCTTCTTGTTTACAATGTCACCTGAAAGTGAGAACAAGTGTTGGCATGGCACTGCTGTAGCCGGCATCGCAAGATATTTACACTTCAGATGTGCTACAGATTCGTATGCCCTTTCATGCTTGGGCCACCATTCCAGGGACATACATCCATGCTGATGATGGGTTCTGCCCGATAACGATCCAAAGCGATGCAGACCAACGCATGATCATTTTCATCATCTGAGTCATATCACCAGCAGAAAAGAGAGTTACCTTTTCCATAACTCGTGTTCTTCGAAATGTGTTGCTCATGTCTATTCAACTTAGGTGTGTGTAGATATTGCTGTGGATACTGCTGAGGGAAAAACTTCCAGCACTGCTGCATGTGGTGAGCACACACACCTAAGTTGAATGGACATGAGCAATCACTCGAAGGAGGAGGTTGATTTTCTTTTTTGGTGATTCAGGTTCTGTAGTTTCCGCATCGGAGTGTTGCTCTTTTAGACTTTTGAAAGCATGCTCCACACCCCGTCCCTCTGAGATTTTGGAAGGCACTTCAGATTCTTAAATCTTGGGTCGAGTGCTGTAGCTATCTTTATAAATCTCACATTGGTACCTTCTTTGCGTTTTGTCAAAACTGCAGTGAAAACGTTTTTAAAACTAACAACATGCTGGCTCATCATCTGAAAACAAAGAGCAGGAGACATACAATTCTTCCCCAACGGGTTCAGTCACAAATTTAATTAACAAATTATTTTTTTAATGAGAGTCATCAGCATGGAAGCATGCCCTCTGGAATGGTGGCCAAAGCATGAAGGGGCATACAAATGTTTAGCGTATCTGGCACATAAATACCTCCCAATGCCGGCTACAAAAATGCCATGTGAACGTCTGTTTTCACTTTCAGGTGACATTGCAAATAAGAAGCGGGCAGCATTATCTCCCATAAATGTAAACAAAACTTGTTTCTCTTAGCCACTGGCTGCCCAAGAAGTAAGACTGAGTGGACTTGTAGGCTCTAAAGTTTTACATTGTTTTGTTTTTGAGCCCTATTATCCCAGCCGGGACCTTAGCTAACAGCTAACTACGCTACTAAACACTAACTACAATTAAACAAAAGGCTCGAAGTCCAATGGAAAAAAAAACGTTCGCTCAAACAAGCAAGAGAGGCGTTCCGACTGACCACCATGGGCAATAAGAAGGAACTAAGAGTGCGTGGGCCGGCAGCGCCTAATATACCACAGCATGGGTGTGGCACACTAGCGGGCACTACAGCCAGCCCTACAGGTACCACTAAGGCAAAGATCTCTGATGGCCGCACACCTAGAATGAAATCGACATGAGCAAGCAGAAGATTCTTCGAAGAAGAATCAATATATTTGAAAATGTAGATAAACATCCAAATATTTAATAAATTTCAATTGGTATTCTATTATTTAACAGTGCGACTAAAATTGCTATTAATTTTTTTAGCATGGTGAGAAATTTTTTTGAGTTAATCGCGTGAGTTAACTGCGATTAATCGACAGCCCTAATAAGTATAATTCCTTATATTTTACAATGCTTTATATTCATGCTGAATTCTAGAACACTAACATTAATCTAAAGTTACATGCTGTAATCTTTGCAGCTTTGCATAGCTGTGTTACTCTGTATACAACAGAGGAATACAACAAGGCTTGAGAAATACACTCAAACCAAAAGCCTTTCGGCATTCTGCTATGCTTGGCTACAGCAGACAGGAGCACAAATATGGAGCCAAGTAAGAAAAAGTCTGTAAGGTTTATAGTGTTTTTGTAGAACTATAACTTTTATTTATGTTCCACTTTCCCCCCAAATGCTTTTTACTTATGTTAAACTGTTTAAACAAGAGGAGATGTGAGGTATTGTAATCTCTGTGTTAGCTATAGAGTCATTCCAGAGAACAAGAACCAGATGAACAATTTTGTTGATTAGCTAACATGCCCTCTGTTCCAAGCTATAACTGGTGAAGACTCTCTCTAAAGTTTTTCCGATTTCTGGAATACTATGGTCAAAACAAGATCATAAACAAGGTTACAAACTTTGCTCTGTTTAATGCAGGGTCTGTGCAAGACTTTCAAAACATGTCAAAGATAATAGATGAGAAGTAATGCAAAGAAATGACGAAACCCTCAACACTAATATAAATAAAGCCAGAGTGAAGTTCAGATTTTGAGAGAGCTTACAAACTGCATTGCTGCCTCCCAGATTGGTGGTAATGTATTGGTCTTTCTGTATTACACTGTTTTAATCTTTGACTAATAATCTTTGATTAATAAAATTGATTGAGCCTAGCTATTTACTGAGTTAAATCAAACCCATAACAACCTCTAAAGTCCAGATGGTCCCATGCCTTGCAACTGTTTTAAAATTGAAATGTATCTGTATCTTCTAATGCCTGTAACCTCAACATATAGCTTAACCCAACAACACAAACCCCCATACTGAAAGAAAAACAGGGAACCGATGGTAAGATTTTAGAAGCTGAGATTTTGCAGCAAGGGGATAGACAGAGGGCTGCTTCTACTCCTTCCTGCCATTTATGGACAGCTCCATGCCACCCAAACCCAGTGTGCTTGTTAGATGTTTGGCACCGACAAATAGGTGCATTCTTAATAAGAAAGAGCCAACAAAGACCAGCAAGTGCCACACCATCACCCAAAGATGTGTGGCCCACCCTCCACAAGCCTGCCCCACAAGCAGGTGCTAGTATCTCCTTCTGCACAACACCCATAATTGTGAATTCTGTGGTTCTACAGAATTAACAGACTTCCCAGATCTCTGTTCACAGAATGATAAGTTGGTAAATAAGAAAGGAAACAAAAAATAGTAGTTAATATTTGTAAGATGCTTTGGAAATGTACAATAAAATGCCATAAAGGCTACTACTACTACAAGAGCTTCGTTACTTTCTGCTTCGTAAAATCATCGGTGGGGAAAAATCAACGCCGCCCCCCTGCCGCCTCTTTATTCTTTAAGATATACTTTTTAATCTTTCAAGAGTATAACAATGAAGAACTAAATGAAAAAATAATCCTTTATATGAACTGAAAAAATACATTCACATATTTATACTAGTACTTACTTATTGCAGTGATGCTTTATGTGTTTTTTATATCCTTCATCTTGCAGAAGATGTTCCGGATTATATTTTCGAAGCCATTCTGCTTTATGTATATCAAATGTGCTAGCCTGAGTCTTCACTTTCTTTCCTTTTCTACCCCTGGGAACAGGTGCTGACAAACCTACACAAAATGAAAATACAAAGCAACGGACAGTAATGTACAACTGGCAGATGCTTTGCAGTGTTTTTTAAATTAATATATTCTAAGAGAGAGGTAAACGCTGGTGTGGTGACCTCAAATGCCATATGAGAGCTCAGGCTCTTTATAGCTCCTTGGTCTGCCACACAGGAATCTCTAAGAGGTGTATTTCATCATTAGGACCGAAAGGTAAAGGAGAGACGGCATGTTGTCACTGTTAGCACACAGTGTAATAGGTTTCAATGAGCAGGAACCAATGGGAAAGTTAAGTTTACATACAGTATACCAACCCATTGTGGAAAGCCAGCAATAGCAAAGAATTGGAAAAGAAAATTCTTCTCCTTTTTCCCCATCAACCTTTTGAGATACCCTCAGCAAAATCCATTTGCTTTAGTTATTACATTACATTATTCTTTAAACATACTTAGAAAATGTCACAAACTTACATTCAACAAGTTGTCTAATTACAGTTCCTTACCTAGGTGATTCTGTAGCTCTCGTGTTTGCCCATCCTCTGTTGGGGTGATGAGATCCCATATAAAACTTTTTATCTTTTCATCTCCTCTGTAGTGAACAAGGCAATATGCTAGGAGTGCTCGGCAAATTATCTCAACATCCTGTTCATTTAGTTGCCTCTTGAAGCGACCGTGTGATAAAATCTCTCTCCAACGACCCCACCTGATCCAAAGTGACACACCCAGCAGAGTTTTTAAAATACAATTTTCAGGCAATCTGTATGTGAGTATTATTGCAAAAGGAACAACTTCTTAAGATTTTGTGGTTTTCACTTTTTTGGTATCTTCGGTAGCTTAAGTTACCAGAGTGCAAATGACTGTTAAATACTCAGGCTTCAGATACATGATGAAAATATCAAAATAACTGTTTCAAATGAAATTCTGAAGAATGTATATCTCAAATATGGATTATTGGTTTAGATTTTTCAAAAATGGTTATTACAGTACCGCTAAATGCACATACACTCTCTCTCTCTTTATGTAAACTATGGCCAGGATTTTTGTTCCCAAATGTTAGGCTCATCAATAGTAGGCTTGATTTTCAAAAGTGCGGAGCATCTGCAAGTTCCTATTAAAGCCAATTGGAACTGCAGGGTGCTTAGTATTTTTGAAAATCAGGTTGCTTACATACCTAATTATGGATTTATAAACCTAACTTATGGCATCTCTTATTGAAAATTGTGTCCTGTTTTTCCAGACTGATTTTAAAATGAACACAAACTGCGTGTGCATTATATTATGCAATTTCTAACTATGCATAGGTCTTTCCAGTGAATACTTATAATTTATGTATAAACTGTGGATTAACAAGTTTCTCACATTTTGATTAAAGAGGAAAAAACTCACTCCTCTATTAAACTTTTCAGACGGGGAAATACTTACACAGGGTACAGAACAAAACTCCCATCCCAAACAGATTCCCCCAACATGTCTCATGCATATGACTCTGATTTAAAAACTGCTATAGTTTGACAGCATTATTTGTGAGCTGCAGTTCATCTGAGCTCCTGAAAGCACTCCTCTTAACAGTCAGGGAGGATGAGAATTAAAAATAGTACATTAGAAAAATGACTTTAAATACTGAAGGAAAAGAAAAGGAGTTATGATGCCAATGTATCTCATACTTTACTAGTTTATAAGTCTCAACACTTGGCAACATTTAAAATGCACATAAGCATTTTACATCTTAAGATCTGTAATTCATTCTTGTTTATAAAACTAAAAGTATATTCCATAAGTAGGATTTAGTATATTTAGAAATCAACACTATGTTGTGAGTTTCACTTTAACAAAATAGAGTATATTTTACCCATAGACTAATAAGTTTTTCTCCACCCGAAAGCACTCTGTTCTTCCATATCCACTGGAGCGGTCACAAGGCCTGCGGAGTTTTGGTTTATCATCCCCTTCACTCTCTGCTTCTGATAACTCAGCCAGCTCATCTTTTGTGGCACTAAAGGGTCTTGTTTGCTTCCTAATTCTTGGGGTATCAATAACCAAGCTGTTCTGTAAAATTTTAACAAATATTATCTAAGACATGATTGGTAACATTTTCTAAAAGTACCTGACATAATTTTGAGAGGGCAATTTCTCTTTAAATTCCATTAACATTTACACAAAAATCAAAGAAATTACTAGCTGTACACCAATTATAGTATTCTTATGCAACAGAAACAGACATTTTTCATTCTTTACTCCTTCAATGAGACCAATACATTAGTTACAAACTAGATGTAATATCATATTATATTTGTACTAAGTACTGCCATAGGTACTGGGAACCAGTTTCTTCCCTATGCTCTGGGCAATGCAAAGGAGGTATAAAGACATTTTTAAATTGACTACCTAGGATTCCTTCAGCACAGGATAGCGTTAGGATTGTGTAGAAAAAACGGTTACCTACCTTTTGTAACTGTTGTACTTCGATATGTGTTGCTCACGTCCATTCCATTTTAGGTGTGCACATACCCGCGTGCACAGTTGTCGGATATTTCTGCCTTAGCAGTATCCGTGGGGTCAGCTGTGGCACCCCCTGGAGTGGCGCTCCCATGCGGCGGCGTATCAGGCGCCGCCGGCCCTGCGCCCTCTCAGTTCCTTCTTGCCGGCAACTCCAACAGAGGGGTAGGAGGGTGGGAAATGGACATGAGCAACACATCTTGAAGAACAACAGTTACAAAAGGCAGGTAACTGTACGTTTTTTCTTCTTTGAGTGCTTGCTCATGTCAATTCCACTCAAAAAAGAACTGACATTGTGGCGCTCTCTCACACTCCAAAGTGCCCATGGTAGGGGTTGTGGCCAACGGAAACAAAGCAGTCAGACTGCCTCTTGTGTTCCAGCCATCCTTAGGTGCTAAAATGGTCTCCTGGGCCATTTGGGAACCAGATTTACATTAGAAAAGCCCTGAAGCTGCCAACTAATGCACTGACTAACCAAAGAAGTCAATTTAAAACAACAAGTGTGATGATTAGTTTAGATGTTGGTTGAAAAAGTTTCATAAATCCAACACTGCTCTCCTTAAAGGCCAAAGGTTTTAATATTAATTCCCAAAGGTGGTAACTGGATAGTTCAATCTGCTGAATATTCAATCCACATGAGCAACATGATTGTGAGAAAGACAAAAAGGACCATTAAAAAGCATGTACACAAATGAAAATATTCACACATAAAAAATACTTACTCTACCACTGATGGTATCTATATCTATTTCTGCTTTTTTGGCCCATTTCTGCCAGAAGTTGGGATCATCTAATGAAATATCAGTCCTATTTCCAGATGCAACAAAACTAGCCTGCAGTAAACAACATCATATTCCATTAACGGCATAAAACTGTAATAGAGAATGATTATGTTAAATATATACCAAATTATTCCTCTTAAATACTAAGCCCCTCATGTTCAATGTGTGCATCAAAAATGCTTCAAAGTCCCATAAATTTATAGAAAATTAAGGAAGCAGTTAACTAAGAGAGGAGCTGCTAAAAAAAACATTGTAGCCTCCATCAATTTGGTACTGACTTAAAGCACTAAGCAAGTACATCCTGACTGCCAGGGGCTGGCTGGTGGACAAGATATAAACTGCTGAGAACAATATTTCAGAATTATTATTGATTTGTGCTCTAAAAATGTTGCTAAAACATGTACGTGATGACTGAGCTTGCAGAGTTAGAAGGGTTTCTCTATTTAGAAGCTACTTCCAATTCCTTAAAGGGATCAGAACATTTAACTAAATACATAATACTGGCAGAACCGCAGCAGCAAAAATATTCCCACACACAGAAAAGAGATGGACAGTGTCCTCTAAAAGACATTACAAAAAGGAAACTATCTAAAATAACCAACTGTAGTATATCCTTGACCAAAAACATGCCATAAGATCAGAGGAAAGAAAACGAGAGCTGGACCTTTCATTTTGAAAAGAAATCTCACAAAGACAATTTGAATCCAGACCTGTCCTACAATCATGCGTCTAATTAAGAATTATGTTTGGTAAAAATTATATAGATCTCCATGTGACTGCCAAAGAGATCTCAAGGCAACAACACAGAGAATAGGCTACTCTAACACATCATAACTGTAATGTGCCTTCACATAATGCATCGTTAAAGCCTTCCACCCCCTACATTCCCTTTTGCAGTAGTTTCTGACCTACTCTCCCCAACCACCGCCACCCCAAGCTATAAAACACTGCTACCTTTCTTCGGCAAGCCCGGAAAACTTAAAGGTGCGGTGCCGTCATTTGAAATGTTTCAGATGAGAGGCAGAATAGTGTTTAAAAAAAAAAGTTGGATGGACTTTCTAAAAAGCTTATTTATTCTACATATTATGGCCCTTAGGATACACAAGACATACAGCAAGGTTTCACTGGTATGCATATTATAGCAAAGGAAAAATTACATGCAGGATACAAGGAATTCTGGACACGTATACAAAATCCAATGAAGGCCCTGATTTTACATTTAGCTCCATTTCGGCACAGGGTTTCACCTGAATGGAGCCCACTGCAGGATCAGGACCTAAATTTTTGTATGTAAAGTGAATGAGTCAGTAGTGTTTGTAACTTGTCAATTTTGTAAAAAGACGACATGGCTATGACTCCACAATCATCCCTCAATATATCACCTGAATCTTCAGAAGAGACCTGGAGTGGAATTTCGTAAGTGTATTTCCCTCATAACTTTTAAAGCAGGAAAGGCAGAGCACTAAACATTTTAACATAAGGAACTACTCAGCACTGGTAGGGAGGAAGGACTAGATGACCCTAGGAAGTCTTTGCTGCTTTTAATTCCTATGACTAATTTAGTATAATGGAGAGAAGAACTCTGAAAAGGTCACATCACCAAATAGGGATTTCATCTTACATAGGTTTTGTCTACACTACTGGGGTAAGTCAACCTAAGTTACGCCACTCCAGCTACGTGAATAATGTAGCTGGAGTCAACGTAACTTAGGTTAACTTAATACGGTATCTACACCGCGTTGCGTCGATGGGAGATGCTCTCCTGTTGACTTACCTTAATCTTCTCGTTCCGGTGGAGTACCGGAGGCTACCAGAGAGTGCTCTGCGGTTGATTTAGGGGGTCTTCACTAGCCCTGCTAAATCGACCGCCGCTGTATCGATCGCAGCAGTGTCTATCCCCAGTAAGTGTAAACATGGCCATTGAGATTTCATTTAAATGGAATACTTTAAGGGAATGTTCTGATTTGCAGCCCCATGTCATTTAAATTAGGAGTCTGGGGGCAGTTTAATGCCTAAGATAGACATGCAAATAACACTGGCATGGGAAGAAAAGGTGAATTAAGTATAAAAATACTTTTTGGTTGTTCTCATAAAGATGATATGATAGCATTAAGCTTCCTGATTCTTCTTTCCTAAGACTAGTTTTCACAAGAAACCTAATTCCACAAACAATAAGATTAAATGGATCCTCAATCAATATAACTACATGCATATTCTGAGAGACATAGAAAGCTAAGTTCTTCTGTCCCCCTCACCCTTTTTCATTCTTTTTATTTCTGACACTTCTGTCTGCTATAGTGAGTGTTAGATGTCAGTGGCCTAACCAGTTTGAGAAAGTTTATAACTCCCCATAATTCACATTAAATAAAGACTCTGAATGGCTTTCCAACTACAGAAGCAGTTTCTCCTCCCTTGGTGTTCACACCTCAACTGCTAGCAGAGCACCTCACCCTCCCTGATTGAACTAACCTCGTTATCCCCATACTGATTTATACCTGCCTCTGGAGATTTCCATTACTTGCATCTGAAGAAGTGAGGTTCTTATCCACGAAAGCTTTTGCTCCCAATACTTCTGTTAGTCTTAAAGGTGCCACAGGACCCTCTGTTGCTTTTTACAGATTCAGACTAACACCGCTACCCCTCTGATAATTCACATTGTTTGTATTCATTCTTGCAATCAAAAAATGCTTTAAAATTATTTTCAAGGGAATCATTTTAAACAAAGAGGTTTAGATGAATACAATTAGAAGTAGCCATAAAATAGCGCAAGCATGGCCCTTGCCAATAACCAGCATAGAGTATATTCTACTTTCTGTCTTCGATGTAAAAGCTGTCTCTAGCACCAGTAAGAAATTAGTATTGAAGTATTTTCCCCAATTCTATCCTTGTCCCACACCCTCATTTTCTTTTCTGACATTTTATAGCTCTTCATTTCCTCTTCTATACAACCATCCTTGCTTTGCTTTTCAAACACCTAACAAGAAAACAATATGGATAAAGAGATGTCTCTGCATTTCCAGTATAAACCTGACAGTTATCCTTTAATCCCATTCAACATTTATTTGCTCATATGTGCTTTACACCTGCAATTACTGTCTTAGTTTATGTACTTAGTGTATGAATAAAGCAAAGCAAAGTTATTCTCAGTAACTGTACATCCTCTATCAAAAATATATTAGTACTCATTTAAAAAAAAAAAAAGACAACACCAGAAGTACACAGCTATTGTTTTGCCAGCACGTAGTCTCATACTTTTGAGCATGCAATTTACTCAACGTATACCATGCCAATCAGAGATTTTTCTATGTGCACATGTCCATATAGGTCTCTCTCTAGCAAGATCAGCATGCAAAATCTCTCTTGGATAATGCACAAAAGGGAAAGTAGACAAGTGTGTGCATGCAAAAGAACAGATGCAACGTGGGCATCATATTTTAAAAACAAACAGTCCCATGAAATTCTTCACTGACACAAAGTTCTACAAATCTCACATTCTGAACTTAAGCAACAATAAGAACTTCCTTAAATAAAAGGCAGAGTAGCATGATCAAATGGAAAACAAGTTGCTGCTACTGTACCTTGGCAAACGTTGAACCCCTTCCTTCTGATTCAATTGTGATAGTTTTCGTACGGCGCTGCAAGATTTGGTCTATATCTTCTTCACAGAATTTAGAGCCCTCATCCTCTTCATCCATAATAGCACCATAGGCACCTCTTCGAAGCAGGTCTTCTATTTCTTTTTTGGAAAGCTGTTGGATCTGTACAAATTATTGAAAGTGTTTTTGTTTTAATTTGTTGTAAAAATTGGTGAAAAATTCTCATAAGCATATGTGCAGTATTTTTTCTACCTACTTCCATAACCAATATTTTTATAATTAAGTTAGCCTTCCAGATTTGTAGATTTAGTATCTACCTTTTTATAATTAAAAAACAATAAAATGATAAATACCATTATATTAAATATATATAAATATCATAACATATTTCATGTAACCTTGCTTCTACATTTGGGCACCTAGTGAGTACTTGATGAATCAAGGCTTTTATTCAATGTAATGATTAATGGGGGACTTCGGGAAAAATAGCTTTGTGCACCAGTTTAATCAATATCTAAAGATGTATATGATCACCAGTATAACTCAATTAACTCTTCCTGTATTAAGGCTACAGCTTATACTCATATAGAAGGATATAAAAATAAAGTGGAGGAAAGCTTTATATTACATGGGATTTTTTTTTTTAAAAGAATGTATGTGGAGTAAAAAATATTAAACTATGCTTTATCAAAATTTGATTGTGGAGCTAATGTAGTCTTGCCTTCTTCCATACAAATGGAAAGCTGCATAGGAAATGAGATAGGAATCCTGTCTACCTGATCTGCGGAATCTGTAACGAATGTTGTGAAATCTGAAGCATAATATTTTAATGATTCTAGGTTCGTGGTTTGGTATAATCTCTACAAATAAAATAAATAAAGCCTACGCCATTTAAAAAAATATGGTAAGCAAAATATGTCACTCTTTCAGATACATCACCAAGGCAATTATCTACCCTTTGGTTTAACAAGGAAAGATGGAGGAAGTAGTCTGTGCAAGAGTTCAAAGCAAATTTATGGCTAAGCTTTAGAAGACATTTCCAAATGTTCATCTTTGCCTTCATCAGGAAACATCACATAGCTATGCACACATTTAAAAAAAAAAAAAAAGACCTAAGTTAAAATTAATTAAGCTGTTCCCTTGCAATTACAAAAGTAGCTTTAAAAATGGTAGTTATTCTGGCCAAAAACAAGAAGTCTACATACACCACCAACACTATTTTCTCTTCCACTCATGCTCTGTAAAACAGCTTTATCCAGACCCAATTTCAGACTTGCTCTGTCAAACATCTCTCTCTCATATGAGTTCCGAGTTATCAATCTGTAGACCTTCACTGCTTTGTTCTGACCAATCCTGTGACAACGGGCTTGGGCCTTTGAAAGAGGGAACAAAAATAAAATTAGATTTTTGTGTAGGAGCAAGCTATATTCCTTCTTCTAAGAAACCTGCTCTGCTATAAAGTAATCTTAAAGGGACACAGTCAACTTGAAAACAATCAATGTTTTTAAATGGAAGTTGTACAAATAGAGCAGAGGTTTGGAAAGTTAGAAGTAGTCTTGGAAAGATGGATTAGTAGGCAGAATGTTGGTGAAGTGGTCTAAGTTGCATGATATGTTATTTATTTCAAATGAATTCTATGTATATATTTTTCACAGTACTGATCTCTCCACAGATGCTAGACAAAAAGTCACTTGAGGATTTCTGAGATTTTGATTCCACTTCCTCTTCCTTAAATTCAGTCCATTTTCTAGGGGAATCTTACAATTGAAACATTTTTGTGCTACTCTAAGCTGAAGGTTTCTACTTTCAATTTTAATCTATTATTTCTAGTTTTAATAAGTGATGAGAAATCTCTCCATCTTTGCATTATTCTTTTATCTACTTGTATTAACAGAATCATCTCTTTCTTCCCTTATGTCCTTAATGGATAACCTCAGTTTTCTGAACTTGTACATATTTCAAATCTCGCTTCTGTGTACCCCCAACAATTCCTTTTTATATACTAAATCGTCCTCTTGATGCAATCTTCAGTTATTCTATATGATACGCAGTAGAGTGTCCACAACTGTATGCCAAATCCTAGCGGTAATCTAAAGAGCATCATGTAACTAAGGAGACACTTTGTTCCCATTCTTACATGCAATACCTCTAATTATAATTCCATGATTGTATCTACTTCTTCACTTCAACATCACTTCATATACATTATTAACTTTTCTCTATTATTTACACAATTTTTCTGCACTGATAATGAATAGCCACTGGCTTTCCACTGCAGTTTGTGTGTGTGGATAGTTTCTGAAAGTCATTCATATTCCTTCTCTAACACTGTGAGCATCACAGAAGTAACTGAACTTTAGCATAGGCCCAAATTCTTCTCTAGTTCTACTATTCTAAATCCAGAGCAGTACCATTAACATTTATTGAATTAATTAGTGTATGAGAGTGTAAAATTGGTCCCCACTGTGTTCTGTGATATCCTCAAAACCTTCAGAGTTTTATAATCTCACTAACAGTTTACCTGTGTTGCACTTTATATATTGCAAATATATTATGATTTAAGCGAAGAACTCATTTTATTAAATGAATACAGAAAAAGTCTATTTTGAACATTTTTGGGGCGAGAAACAGGAAAAGTTAAAGGAGAAAGCCTTACAAAATTTACATTTGTATTCAGATTTCAAGACAATTATAGAAAGTGGGGTGGAAAAACATAGCTGTGATTATCAAAGAGACAGCCCAGCCAAATACAGTTGATCCTCTGTTTGTATACTGTAATCTTTTTGTTAAAAAAAGTTCTGTTATACTCTTACTGAAATATACAGCATGGTGTTTTTTATGCTCCAGTTATAACCTCAAATGAATTTACCTGGAGATCATTCTGAGGATTCCAGTCAGAATCAAAAATTATACATGTATCAGCTGCAGTCAAATTAATGCCCAATCCACCAGCTCTGGTACACAGAAGAAACACAAACCGATCAGAGTCTGGTTTGCTAAACCGATCAATAGCAGCTTGCCTCAGATTTCCTCTCACTCTCCCATCAATTCTTTCATATAAGTACCTAGAAAGTGCAAAAGAAATTGTTTAGAAAAACAATCTATTATCTACAATGGAAAAAAGTTATCTTTGCTTTCTACTTACCTCTCATGAACAGCACTGATAAAGATACACAGGTGAATGAAGATAAACACAGGGATGGATTTATATGGCTGGCTGCAACTTTCTTACCTTAACACTGGGGAAGTGTGCTATCTGTCCCGACTTGCATGCACCAGGCATTTAATTGGATCCAACAAGGGGATTACAGGGCTCCCACCATATAAACCGTAACTCAGCCCACACTTCTGAATCATCTCTCATACTCCCAGAGAAGGTATCAAAAGTGAAATCTTGGTCTGCAAAGACCTTCAGGTCTTTCCTTCTCCCATAGGCCTGAGGTCCACCAATGAAATCTCATGTCTCTTTTACTTGTGGGAGCTGGCCATTTGATCTTTAGCCATACCGGATACTGGTTGCAAGTTGTGACAAATTAAACATTCCTACAAATGACTAGTATTGATTTCTAAGTCCTATGTCTATTTAATTAAACTGTACCTCCATCATGCTGCAAGGAAGGTGAAAAAACCCATCAGGCCTCTGACAATTTGGCCCCAACAGGAAAAACTCCCTTCACACCAAAACACGTGATCATGCTAAAAACATAGATCCTATGCTACAATTACAGGAACGGAGGGTAGAGCAGCAAAATGTGACAAGAGGCTCCAAAAGACGCAGGCAGAAGTTTAAATTAACGAGGGGGAGGACAAGGAGTTAGTCAGCTCCCATTTTCCTCTGGCTGGTGAATGGGAGGCAGTGGGGCTCCACCCCCAAATTCCCATGCATGTGTTACCCCTCCCTCTGGAGCTGTCTACCACATTTCAAGTCTTTAACAGGGCTCACACAAAGTGAGTGCAAATTATAACATACTTTGGTTTCATAATGTAATATGCTAAATTGTCTCATCACATATGGTATTATTGGGAAATCAGTATAAAGCAATGTTTAGATAACTGTCACTTGACAAACCAGTATTTGGATTGTGAACAAGTACTGCTTCTAAAAATAAATTAGTCTTTCTTTACATTTTAGCCTAGTTTACATTTGATTAGCTTACCTTTTTTTTTTTTGCAAAGTGTTGAACATTAGCCTAACTGTAATAGGCTCGATTTCTATTAAACTAATAATTTTGTTCTAGCAATCTCTCAAGATCAAGCAAAACTGGAACAAGAATAAAGTCACCCCCCCCCAAAAAAAAAGTCTTTCAAGAGGCACCAGTGAAACTATGTTTTCCTTAAACCTAAACCTAGTTAAATTATTGCTCCTTCCTTAACTTTTATAATTACAAAGACTCTTGTACTCTTGCTGTAATATCAAAATATATGTGCTTTGCTCCCACACTTTAAACCGTAGAAACATTTCTCTGCAGTTGGTAAGTGGAGTAAGCTGCAAAATTTGTATTTAATTGTCAGCAGAAAGCGTCACAAGCCTTTTTCCTCCTTGCTGATCAGACATAAAATGGCACAGCAGATAATCCACAGGCATTTTGTCAGTCAGTCATGCTCCTGTTGTCATGCATTAATTCTGACAATTCTAACCAAAGAGCAAAGCCAAACAAGTTCATACCTCTATGGCATTCAAAAGAAGAGTCAACCTGTTCAGATGCTGCACTAGTCTATGTATTATTTGCTTACAGAACAAGGAACATCTTTTTATACACATTTTTAAACAATATCACAATTGAAACAATGTGAATTGAAATCAAGATACTGATACAAGATACTGAATTCCTAGTTGTGAGTAATTGCTAATTTGTACAGCAAGTATGGAAAAAACCAACATACAACTATGGTCCTAAATAAAATTGGCATCATAAAGGTTATTAAATATATGTAATGCCAAGTCTATATAAGAATGTTACCAACTTTGCTTATTTTTATTTCAGTAGGTTGCAATCATTTATCAAAAAGATATCCCTGTTGAGAACAGCACACAGAGTTTATGAAATATGTAGCATTCTACCTTTTATGTATAAGGTAGTCCTCAAGGATGTCAAGACAGCGCACCATTTGAGAGAAGATAAGCACCTTATGGCCTCCTGCTTTCATTTTTGGGAGAAGTTTATCAATGAGGACCAATTTACCAGCAGACTGGATCATTGCTTGTAGATGAAAATCAGGAGCAGTTGGGATATATGTTTCCCTAAACTCCCCAAGGATTTTCTCTTCAGCACCTGTCAAATAATAAAAATGTATGACTAATCTCAAAAGAAATGGTGGTGGTTGTTTTTTTACCCACACAAGAAGTTAATGATCACACAGCTTGGTTACCCCACATTATTTCACTGTTTAACTGTTCACTTTGGGGCAAATTCTGTCCCCCGTCCCCAGCCCATTTTTAAAAACAAACACAAAACAAAGCACAACACAAAACAAACCACACATTACAGGGTACAGCTGTAAGTAAAAACAGAATTTTTCCCACATGAGGTCACCTCCCCACAAGCCAGGCTCCCCTATGTTGATGTGACAGCACAAAGGGACAAGATTACCTGGCTTAGGGAGAATACCCCTAGCAATGGCCCTACGTAAGGCTTAGGGTTGCCAACCCTCCCAGACTGTCCGGAATCTCCTGGAATTGGAATCCATCTTCTGGTGGCTACTGAAACCAATCCGGAAGATTTTAAGAGGCCGCAAAAAGTCCGGTGAATGGTGCAGCAGGGCTAAGGCAGGCTCCCTATGTGCCCTGGCTCTGAGTGGCTCCCAGAAGTGACCGGCGCAGACTCCAGAGCTCCCATTGGTCAGGAACTGCAGCCACTTGGAGCTGTGGGGGTGGTGCCTACAGGCAGGGGAACTAGGAGCTGGACATGACGGTCGCCTCCGGAAGCAGCCCAAGGCAAGCACCGCCAGGCTGGAACCCACACCCCAAACTACCTCCCACATCCCAACCCCCTGCCCCAACCCTGAGCCCCCTCCCGCACCCAAACCCCCTCGCAGAGCCTGCACCCTGCACCCCAACCCCCTGCTCCAGGCTCAGCCTGGAGCCTCCTCCCATACTGCAAACCCCTCGGCCCCACCCCCCCAGCCCAGAGCCCACATCCCTCCCACACCTCAACCCCCTTCTCCAGACCAGTGAGAGTGAGGGAGGATGAGAGGGGAGAGTGAGCAACGGAGGGAGGGGGGTCGGAGTGAGCAGGCAGGTGGTCTTGGGGAAGGGGCGGGACAGGGACATGGTCTTGGGGAAGTGGCGGGGCAGGGGTGTTTGAGTTTGTGCAATTAGACAGTTGGCAACCCTAGTAAGGCTGCCATGAAAACCCTGTTGTAGGAGGCATGCTGAGGGCAGTAGAGGTATATTTTGGGTCAGGAGATGAGTGCTGCAGAAATTCTAGAAGAGCAGACACCCATACGTAGCCAGGGATAGGCTGTCTAAGCTGAGGGGAGGGGTCACATTGGCCTTCGGAACAGTCCAAAATCAAGACGACACAAAGACGGCTTAAAGAGACAGAGCACATAATCACACCTGTCGATTTATCTTTCTGAGTGGCCCTAAATTCTTCAGGCCAAATTCACATTTTATGTACCTCCTCTGATGGCTACAGATTTCCAATAAGTTACACCTGGGCTGAATGGAGTAATTCATTTTAAAGTTAGTTATGACAAAAAAAGAAACAATATTTAGGCACACTGTTTCAGACAATGGAATTTAAGGAACAGCAGTTGGTCTCATCCCATAGGAAATCTGAAATAATTTACAAAGGTTTCAGAAATGTTGTATTAACACAAAACTAGCTTTTCACACTATAGGTTTACAGCTACAACATTCATAACCAATACAATTGCAATTACTGATTAAAACAAAGCCAAGGTAAGAATAGCTAAGAATTTTGTTTTTTAAAAAAATCAGAAGAGCATGGAAAAGAAGAAATTACTCACCTTGTGGAGTAACTGAGGTTCTTTGAGATGTGTCCTCCTATGGGTGCTCCACTTCAGGGGCACATACACCTCTCAAACCCTTGATTGGAGATTTTCAGTTAGCTGTGTCCGTTCAGACCATGCATGGGCCCTGTGCCTCCTCTTGCCAGATACTGAGGCTATATAGCATGTGGGAAAACCACCCTCAATACTTTGTCCACCCAACTACCCATAAGAAACAGTCCGAAGCAGAGGGCGAAGGAGGGCGGGTAGTGGAGCACCCATAGGTGGACACATCTTAAAGAAACACAGCTAGTACACAAACTGAGTAACAACTTCTTCGAATAGCGTTCCTATGAGTGTGCCACCTCAGGTGACTTGGGGCAATATTCCCAGATGGAGGAGGCAGCTTCAGAACAGTTCAAAACTGAAGACAGTACTGCAGAATCAAGTGCCAAATCAGATCTGATGGAATGGATCAAGGCATAATGTTTTGAAAACTACGTACTGAAACCCATGTAGCGGCTCTATATATTTCAGATACTAGTACATTCTTTTATAATGCTGTAGATCTTGCTTGAGATCTGGCTGAATATGCTAACACCCTTTGGGGGGGAATGAGCACCCACAACATCATAACAAGAAACAATACATCCAGATATACATCTCAATAGTCTCTGAGCAGAGATCAAGAACCCTGTTGATCTATCCGACAAAGGAAATGAAGAGCCTATGTGACTTCCTAAATTTCTTCATCCTATCTAAGTAGAAGGCCAACGCCCTTCTAACAGCCAGGGCATGTAAACAGAATTCATGTAGAAAACTGCGTGGCTTTGGGAAAAACCCTGGAAAATGAATGGAATGATTAAGGTGGAACTCTGATAGAACCTTAGGTAAGAATTTAGGGTATGGATGTAAAGACACCTTGTCCTTAAAGAACACTATAAACGGGGAGTTCTGCCATCAAGGCTTCAATCTCCCTGATCCAACAGCCTACATGGAATTTAAGGAACAGCGGTTGGCTGTTGGCTGATGGCTACTAAAAAGGCCAACTTCATAGATAAATGTAACAGAGAACAGGTTGCCAGTGGTTCAAATGGAGATCTTATAAGGTCACTGAATACAAGGTTGAGGTCCCAGGTTAAAGCAGGGTTTCTAGTCTGTGGACAGAGATTCCACAAACCCTTAATAAGCCTACACAATACTGGATGAGCAAATACAGAGAATCCTTCTACCAGAGGATGAAAGGCTGATATTGTGGCCAAATGGACCTTAATCAGACTAATTTATAACTCTGGTTTCTTTAGATCCTACAGATAATCCAGGATGACTGAAAGTGGCACTGAATCAGGCAGGAGGCAACAACGACAACACCAATGGAACAATCTCTTCCATTTCTGCAGGTAAGTAGTGTGGGTTGATCTGTTTCTATTATTCACTAACACCTGTTGTACTTATGTAGAGCAGGCAGATTCTAACCCCATGAACCACTGCGGAGCCACACCGTAAGGCAGAGAATTGCTAGGCTGGGATGAAGCACACGACCCACATCCTATAGCAGGAGATGAGGAATGGACGGAAGCTCAAATGATAGTTGGATACATAGGTGAAACAGGTATGGGTACCTAACTTGTCTCAGCCAGGTCAGCACTATAAGGATAACTCTGGCTCTGTCCTGTCTGATCATTTTCATCACCCTCAGTATCAGCAGCATTGGAGGAAATGCATAGAACAGACCCTTCTTCCAAGGAGTGGTGGTCCAGATCCCCTCTTGAGCAGAAAAGAGAATACTTTCTCTTCACGACCTCTAGGAACAGGTACACCTCTGGTAGCCCCCATCTTATGAATATGCTGAGGAGAAACTGGGTGTCTAGTTCCCATTTATAATTCTGTGAGAAGTGTCTGCTGAGGACATCAGCTGTGTTGTTCTGAATACCTGGGAGGTAGATCTGAAATTTGGATCTGATGAGCTATGTACCAATTCCATAGCTTCATGGGTTTGGCACGCTGGAAGGAGGATCTTGCTCCTCCAAGCTTGTTGATATAGAACATGCAGGATATGTTGTCTGCTGTGACCCTAACTGATTTGCCCTGATAAGGGGTAGGAAATGAAGGAAAGCATTCCTGACAGCCCTGAGCTCCAACAAATTGAGGTGAGTTCCCCATTCCAACAGTGACGCATCAGTCACTCAAGGGGCTGGGCGATGGAGAGGGACGCCCGCACAGACAGTGAGTTGATCCTTCCACCAGTCTAAGAAGCTTCTCACACAGAGAAACCGTCACCTGTCTATCCAATGGGTTTCTCACTGGAACATCGGTCATTCTGAGCCAACCCTGGAAGCAGAAGGCCTGCATGATTGGTCCAAAGGTACAAGCTGCCATGTGTCCCAGGAACTGAATTCCTATTGTGGTTCAACGGTCCCCTGAATTGCTCATCCCAGACTTGACAAGGTTACAAATCTGACTAAGGAAGGTAGTCTCTGGCTGTCAACAAATCCAAATATGCCCCTATAAACTGTATTTCCTGTACAGGGGTTAATATGGACTTTTTTTACATTAAGCTGCAGACCCAACTCCTGGTACAGAGCAAGGGCTATCTGGATGGAAGACAGCACTGCTTCGTAGGAATGGTTGCCATGGTACAGGAAGACTAGGATCGCTTCTTGTTGGAGGAAAGCAGCCACTACTCACAGAACTTTTGAGAACACCATTGAGACCGAGGAAAGGGCAGCACTCAGTATTCGAAATGATCTTGGCCTACAGTGAAACATTGGTATTTCCTGTGCAATGGGTGAATCTTTATATGAAAATAGGCATCTTATAGGTTGAGGGCTAAAAACCAATCCCCTTTCTCTAGTGAAAGAATTATAGCTGCCAGAGTTACCAAGTTTACAAACTTGTTTAGAAGTCTTAGTTCGGTCTTCACCGTGTCCTTCTTTGGTACAAGGAAATACGTAATCCCTTGAGTTTATAAGCTCCTAAATTGAAAGGAAGTTCACTTCTAGTCTCGATAAAAGCTTGTGAGAGGGGGTCCCTGAAGCAGAATGGGGAAAGGGGGTGGAAGAGAGGGAGTGACATAAAATGGATGGTTTAACCAATGTTATGACCTCTATTACCTACTTATCAGTAGTGAACTGCTTCCAAACATATTGGAAACAGGCAAGGCAGTCTCCAAAGTGGGAGAGGTGTGCTAATGGGCACATCTGTCAATACAGAGGTGCAGGAGGATTCAAACTGTGGATAGGTGGTCACAGAGGGTGGTTGGGCATCCCTATTTCTCTGAAATCTATGTCTCTTTCTGGGTGGTTCGGTGGATTTATGG